AGAGAAGAGAAGAGAAGAGAAGAGAAGAGAAGAGAAGAGACGAGACGAGACGAGACGAGACGAGAAGAGAAGAGAAGAGAAGAGAAGAGAAGAGAAGAGAAGAGATGGGAGGACAAGAGAAGAGAAGAGAAGAGAAGAGAAGAGAAGAGAAGAGAAGAGAAGAGAAGAGAAGAGAAGATCAGATAATATAAAGAGACAGGTAACGAGAAGATAATCGAAGAGAAGGAAGGAGCAGGAGGAGGACAGTGAATAATACATCAGGAAGGAGAGTCAGAAAAGGAGAGGAGAAAGAGGAGGAGGAGGAGGGAGGTCAGAGGAGAAGCAGAAAGGAGGAACACTAGGAGGAGGAGCAAGTGGAGGAGGAGGAAGGAGCATGAGCAAGGAGGAGAACGCAGGAGGAAAGCAGGAGGAATGCAGGGCAGGAGGGCGTCGGCGCAGCTCGCCCCCTCTGGCGGGGGGCTCCCCGAGGCCGCGGCGACCCGCTGTCGACAAGGACGACGAGGACGAGGAGGGCAAGGACGAGGACGACGAGGACGAGGACGAGGACGAGGACGGCGAGGACGACGAGGACGAGGACGGCGACGAGGGCGACGGCGACGACGACGAGGGCGATGGCGTGGACGACGGCGACGACGACGACGACGACGACGACGAGGGCGAGGGCGATGGCGTGGACGACGACGACGACGACGACGACGAGGACGACGCCGACGACGACGACGACGACGACGACGACGACGACGACGACGACGACGACGACGACGACGGCGACAGCGACGGCGACGGCGACGATGTTGGCGACGACGACGGCGGCGAGGGCTACGACGTTGACGACGCTCGTGTGTTCCCCACGAGGGGACCCCCCGGGCCCCCTCCCCCTGGGCCCCCACACGACCGGCGCCACCCGTGGGCCCCGCGGCGATGGGCCTCCGCGACGCCGCGGGAGCCCCGCGAGGGGGACCCCTAGCCCCTCCCTCCCCCTGCTCAACGGCTCCCACGCGAAGGGCGCCACCCGGTGGGGCCCCGCGGCGGCGAGCCCCCGCGACGCCGCGGGCCCCTTGCGAGGGGGACCCCCCGGGCCCCCTCCCCTCCCAAGCCCCCACATGTGCGCGTGGGCCCCCCGGGCCGGGCCCGACCAGGCCTGAAAAAAAAAGAAGCATACGAAGAAGAAGAAGAAGAAGAAGAAGACGAAGAAGGAGAAGAAGACGAAGAAAAAGAAGAAGACGAAGAAGAAGAAGAATATGTACGCGACGACGTTTGCCTGCCCCGAAGAAGCCAACGCGCACACGATTTGAAGTGGATTTGCGTGAGCGGAAGGCCCTCACTCCGACCATATAGTCCAGTCCGGAAGAAGCCATGCAACAAGCAGTGCGATGCAAAGTAAGTAATGCAATCTCGTGGGAAGCAATGCAACACCAAGTAATACCAAACAGTGCAACGAAACGCAAGGGGGTGTTGAGCACAGCTACTCACGAGAAGCAAGGCAACGTAGAACACAACAAAGCAAAACAGGGGGAATGTTCAAAAATAGTCTGAACATCGTACGGGGACGATGTTTGGATTATTGTTTGACTATGTTTGAGCACTTCTTCCCTTTCGCCCAAAATCCGCCTGTAGGGGGACACGCCCGACCTAATCCCAAGCGACGCCAACTTGACACCCCATATTGCCATCACATGAAACCGGCGACCCCGGAGACCCCTGGCGCGGCACACCCCTGACACCAGGCCTGCTGCACAAAAGAAGCGGGGACCCCTCAGGCAAAACTTGATTGGGAACAAAATCGGTTGCTCTCGCTTGATATTCTTCATGCTTTAGAGAAAACAGGGGAGGAAGTGTCTGGCAGTCGCCCGGATGGAAGGCGGCTCCATTTCAAGATAGCGTTCTTTCGCTATGCCGCCGTGCATTTTGTTCTCAAGGCCACAGCCAGCTACATAGATGGAGGACACCTCCCTCCCAAAGCCATCGCCTGCTGTAACGCTGCGCCGTTGAACAGTGACGTAACTCTTGCTCCGGCCTCAGGTCCGTGCGGAGCGAGGCGCGGTGAGTGGCTACTTGGGCGGGAGGATGCGCATCAAGGACGTGGAGTACTTCACCTTCGGGAAGGAGCGGTTCTACGAGTTCGGCGCTGGCAGCATGCCCCCTGTCAAGGGCTTCGTCAAGGACGGCGCGGGCCTTCGGAACGGGCAGGAGGAGGAGGAGGAGGAGGAGGATAATGAGGCTGAGGAGGCTAAGGGTGTGGTTGAAGAGGGGGAGGAGGAGGAGGAGGAGGAGGAGGAGGAGGAGGAGGAGGAGGAGGAGGAGGGTGGGGGGCTCTCGGGCTCCGCGGAGGGGCCCTCCTCTTCCTGCTCGTGTCGCCTGCTCCTGACACTCCTCGTCATCTGTCCTCCTGCTCTATGACTGCTTCCTCCACCTGCCTCCCTCTCCATCGTCTTCGTCCCTGTCAGCATCGTCGTCGCCATCCTCATCCTCCCTTCTCCGACCCATCGCTCACTATCTTCGTCATCGTCCTCTACTTCCTCCTTCGCTACCGCCTCCTGCCCATCGTTACCGGCGCCATCGTCATCAGCAGCACTGTCACCACCACCACCACTACCACCATCATCATCATCAGCAGCAGCAGCAGCATCAGCATCAGCACCAGAATCATCAGCAGCATCATCATCAGCATCACCATCACCACCACCAACATCACCATCACCATCGCCATCACCATCACCATCACCATCATCGCCATCATTGTCAGCATTGTCATCACTCCTCCCTCTCTCCCCCACCGTCCCTCCACCCTTCGCCCTCTTCTTTCACCCTCCTCCCCGCTCCACGCCCTTGTTCCACTCTGGTCTACGCTCCCCCCTCGTCCTCAATTTCTGACACCTCCTCGTCCTCCTCGTCATCCACATCCTCCTCGCTGGGCGCTCGCTCATCATCCCTCTCCAATCCTCCTTCCACCCTCCACCCCACAACCTCCCTAATCTGTCCTCCTCGTCCGCAGGTTCTGCCTCCTCTCCCGTGGTATCATCCGCCTTCTCATCCTAAAGCTGCAGGCGCCGCAGCGAAGGCAGGTGCTAGACTGCACCCGCAACTCTCGCCAGCTGAGCGCGAGAGTGTTCGACTCGTGGCCCAGAACCAGCCTGGACGGGTTCTGGTCGGTCAAGCCTCCTGCGAGGCCCCGACAGGGCCCACGGCTTTCGCACGCCTGGGGGTGGCTTGGGGAAGCTCCCACTGGCTGTATCCCCAAGCCTGGAAACCTAGGCTGAACAGGGAGGGCAGAGGACTGTTCCGACTTCTTGCCCGCGTCGTGCCCAGACCCTCTCGAACCATGAAAAAATGGAGACGGCAGGTTTTCGCTATTTCCGGCCTCTGGGGGGCCCTTACGGGGCCTCGGGACCATGAGAGAACGATTCAGGATGAAAAACCGGTCCCGGGGAATGGGTCGAGACTTCTGAGGGTCGGCGCCACGAAAAGATCACGACGTCGGGAGTCTGCGAGGAATATTCCATGATGATTTCTTGCCCGTGTCGTGGGGCAGTGCTTCCATAGCCTCTCGCATGCACATCGTCAGCTGTCAGCCTGGCCCAGAGAATCAAGGGAAGAAACTGCACCCAGACCCGACACTTAGCGTTTCCTAAACGGCCCAGGGCGTTTACTGAGCAGCCCATCCCTGCTCGATTCCTCCCCTGGGCGCGTTTACTGAACGGCTTCGCCCGTCGGGGTGGAAACCATCGGGGGCGGACTTCCTGCCCTCTCGGAGAGGAGCCCCGCAGGGTACGGAGCGTCGGCCCGATGCGGACGGCGCCAACATGCCGCAGCGCCGTGCCTTCCGCCGTCCACCCGTCCAGCGGGCGCCAGTCCCCTTTGGTGCCCGAGGCCGCCCGCGCGGGCCCGACGCCGCAGCTCCTCGGCGGCCGGGGCCTCTCTCCCCCCCCCCCGTCCTCCTCGGGGGCCTCGAGACGGGGCTCAAGAGGCACGGCCCCCCTCGAGTCGTGAAAAAGTCACGACGGGAGGTGTTGCCTCATTTTCGGTCTCTGGGGCGCCCTCACCAGGCCTCGGGGCCGTCAGAAGACGACTCGGGATGAAAAACGAGTCCCGGGGAAGGGGCCGAGACCTCTGGGGGTCGACGTCATGAACAAATCATGACGTCGGGGCTCAAGAGGCGGGGGTCAGCGCAAACGGGGGTCAGCCAGAGCGCCGGATCTTGCAGGATCCTGCAGGGCCGGGGGCGCATTGACCCAGGCTTGGGCGCAGGATCCTGCAGGATCCTTCGCATTGGCCCCGGCTTAGGCGCAGGAGCTTGCAGGATCTGCAGGATTCTGCAAGGCCTGACTGGCCCGGGTCTGGATTGACCCGGGTCCGAAGATCCCCGACCTCCTCCGCGGCCGTATGCCAAGAAACACCCCGTATAGCTTCGAGGGTGCCCCAGGTGTCTTGGGTGTCGAGGGTTCCGCTGTGGAAAGCGCGGCGTCCCCGCGCCAAGAATCGAGGGACGTCCTGAGGGTCCAGGGTTTGGGTTGCTTGCGGAAGGTTTCCCCTGAGATCCGACGTTGCAAAAAAAATGCAACATCGCAAAAACCACGCCTGGAGCCCCGGACCGCATCCTTCTGCGCCATTCTTCGAGCCGGAACGATCTGTGAGGGTCCCGGGGCCCGAAGTTCAACGAAAACGCCCGCTGTGGAAAAAAATGCAACGAGAGAGAAGTTGAAATGAAATATCCGGTTGAAAAAACTGCAACGCCAGGATCTCAGGGTCTTGTGGACTGGCCTCCACTGCCTGCTTCCCCCCCCCCGCTCTGGTGCGCCCAGTGCCCGGCGCGCACCGCCGGCCCTGCAGCCGCGCCCGCGTCCGCGCGGGCGCTGCGAGCCACAGGCTGTCCATCGGCCAGCCCGTCCGAACCTCACCGGGGGCGCCGCCCCAGACCCCCTCGAGGCACGACAAAAGTCACGACGGGAGGCTTTGCGTAGTTTCCGGCCTCTGGGGGCCCTCACTGGGCCTCGGGGCCGTCAGAAAACGACTCGGGACGAAGAACCGGTGCTGGGGAAGGGGCCCAGACCTCTGGGGGTCGACGTCATGAACAAATCCTGACGCCGGGGGTCTGGGGATCCTGACCCCCGACGTCGTGATTTTTTCATGACGTCGACCCCCAGAGGTCTGGGCCCCTTCCCCAGCACCGGTTCTTCGTCCCGAGTCGTTTTGTTGACGGCCCCGAGGCCCAGTGAGGGCCCCCAGAGGCCGGAAACTGCGCAAAGCCTCCCGTCGTGACTTTTGTCGTGCCTCGAGAGAGTCTGGGCCGGGGGCGCCGACGGAGAGGCGGGCGCCGACGATGCCGACGACGACGACGACGACGACGACGAGGGCGGCGACGGCGAGGACGACGACGACCAGGACGGCGAGGACGACGATCGGGACGGCGAGGACGACGACCAGGGCGGCGACCTCTTTCGCTCCTGGGCTCCTCGCCCCCCGGATCTCCGAGACGTCCTCGGCCCTCCGAGCCCCGACGACCCTCCGAGGGCCCTCGGGGGCCGAGGGCCTCGGCCCCCCCCCCCGCGGGGGTCTGGTCGGGGGGGGGGGTCCCACGGGGCCGGGAGCGCCGCCGGAGACAGTCGGGAGGGGAAGGAACGCACAGACGCAAGGAGTCGTCGACTCCCAGGAAGATATTGGAAAATATGGGAATGGGGGGGGGGAGACAGAAGCCCAGAACATGTGGGAGAAGATGGGGAATCCTGTTATTTGTGTGTGTGTGTGTGCATGTGTTCGTGCGTCCCTCCGCGGCGCACCTGCTCCTGCACATCCACTTCGGCACCGCCTGCACCCCTGGGCTTCGCCCACTCCGGCCGCCTGAGGCCCCGTCTTCCTGTGCCCTGTCTCCCTAATTAAAGCTGTGCGTAGCCCGCCTAGCTTTTAGCGGAAGAGGTTCGCTCCCGCCCCGCAGATCAAAAAATGTGTTCGTGCGTCCCGGGGCCCCTTCGGACAGGCGGGCCGCCGGCGGGGGGGGCCGCCGCCGAGAGGACGGCGTGGACGTCGAGCGGTTGCGGCCGAGGATCGAGGCCATGCTCGGGCAGGGCAGGTCGGGTGGCCCGGGTGGCCCCCGCCGTCTCCGCCGGCGGCGGCGGCGACGACGACGACGACGCTCGGGGCTCCAGAGGCCTGGCCCCCCTCGAGTCGAGAAAAAATCACGACGGGAGGTTTTGCAGCATTTTCGGCCTGGGGGGGCCCCTCACTGGGCCTCGGGAGCGTCAGAAAACGACTCGGGATGAAAAACGGGTCCCGGGGAAGGGGTCGAGACCTTTGGGGTCGACGTCATGAACGAATCATGACGTCGGGGCTCAAGAGGCGGGGGTCAGCGCAAACGGGGGTCAGCCAGAGCGCCGGATCTTGCAGGATCCTGCGGGGCCGGGGGCGCATTGACCCGGGCTTGGGCGCAGGATCCTGCAGCATCTTGCACGATCCTTCGCACTGACCCAGGCTTGGGTGCAGGATCTCCCAGGATCCTGCAGGATCCTGCGAGGCCTGGCTGGCCCGGGTCTGGATGGACCCGGGCCAGCAGATCCCCGAGACGACGCCGACAGCGGCGGCCACGACCCGGCCCTCCTCGCGGCGTGGACTTTGACAAAGATCACGACGGGAGGGTTTTCGTCGTTTTCGGCCTCCGGGGGCCCTCACCGGGCCTCGGGAGCGTCAGAAAACGACTCAGGATGAAAAACGGGTCCCGGGGAAGGCTCCTCCTCCTCCTCCTCTTCCTCCTCCTCCTCCTCCTCCTCTCCTCCTCCTCCTCCTCCTCCTCCTCCTCCTCCTCCGCGAATTCTGCCAACCAGTGCCGGGGAAGGGGTCGAGACCTCTGGGGGTCGACGTGGCGAAGAAGTCACGACGTCGGGGGTCTGTGGACGACGAGCGGCGCTGGCGCTTGTCGAGGGCCCTCCCGCGCAGCGTGGGCCGCCGGTGCGCTCGGGACCGGGCCCGCTTCTGCTAATTTGCACGAGCGAGATGGGCACGGAAAGAATGGGTACAATGCCCAACAGCAGTTCCTGTTCATTTTGAACAGGACTCGCTGTCCGCGCCGCCGCGCCCTGTGTCCATTCGAGACAGAAGGCCGCCAAACCAACAGCGGCCGCTGTTGGTTTGGGACAACATTTGTTGTTGGGCATTGTACCCATTCTTTCGGTACCCGCGTGTGCCTCTACAGGAGGAACGCTCGATGGGGCATGTTTCTATTAAGATTGTCAGAAGATCATCAAAAAAGTGTTTGCTAGCTTTTGCATATACAATGTGTTGACTATTCTGCATGTTTCATTCAAAATCCGCCTACCGGTCGAGGGCGGAGGGCGCTAGGGTAGGCCCTTGCTCGGGCCGGTCCGTCCGCTCTCCAGCGTAGCGGTTTGGTCGGGCCAGTCCGGGCTGGTCGGTGTGCGCGCACTGTCGGCATCGCCGGTGGGGGCCCGTGGAGCCCCAGGGCAAGTGTTGAGTCGATCGGGCACGTCCCTCTACAGGAGGAATATTCAGGAATATTCAAAAGTTGTCCAACAAAAAATTAGCCTGGCGAAGGACCCAACCATATGCAGTTGTGAATGCCGCAGTTGTGCTGGGTGGTGGCGGACGCATGCGGGCGGTGCCACTGGGACCTTCGTTGGAGCTCCCTATGGGGCCACGAAGCGCTGTACTGAGTGGGTGAGACGCGGTCAGCAAGGGCTGTGCTGCGTGGTGGCGGACGCATGCGAGCGGTGCCACTGGGACCTTCGGTGGGGCTCCCTATGGGGCCACGAAACGCTGTACTGGGTGGGTGAAACGCAGGCAGGGAGCAAGGGCTGTGCAGGGTGGTGGCGGACGCATGCGGGCGGTGCCGCTGGGACCTTTGGTGGAGCTCCCTATAGGGCTACGAAGCGCTGTTCTGGGTGGGTGAAGCGCAGGGAACAAGGGCTGTGCTGGGTGGTGGCGGACGCAAGCGGGCAGTGCCACTGGGACCTTTGGTGGAGCCCCCTATGGGGCCACGAAACGTGCGAGGGGTGTGCCAGAATGGGGTGTGGAACCGCATGCCAGCGCAGCCACTGGGGCCTTCGGTGGAGCTCCCTATGGAGCCACGAAACGTGTGAGGGGTGTGCCGAAATGGGGGGTGGAACCGCATGCGAGCGCAGCCACTGCGGCGTTCGGTGGAGCTCCCTATGGGGCCACGAGACGTGTGAAGGGCGTGCCGAAAAAGGGGGTGGAACCGCATGCGAGCGCAGCCACTGGGGCCTTCGGTGGAGCTCTCTATGGGGCCACGAACCGTGTGAGGGGTGTGCCGAAATGGGGGGGGAACCACATGCGGGTGCAGCCACTGGGGCGTTCGGTGGAGCTCCCCATGGAGCCACCCACGAAGCGTGTGAGGGGTGTGCCAGAATTGGGGGTGGAACCGCATGCGGGCGCAGCCACTGGGGCCTTCGGTGGAGCTCCCTATGGGGCCACGAAACGTGTGAGGGGTGTGCCAGAATGGGGGGTGGAACCGCATGCGGGCGCAGCCACTGGGGCCTTCGGTGGAGCTCCCTATGGGGCCACGAAACGTGTGAGGGGTGTGCCAGAATGGGGGGTGGAACCGCATGCGGGCGCAGCCACTGGGGCCTTCGGTGGAGCTCCCTATGGGGCCACGAAACGTGCGAGGGGTGTGCCAGGATGGGGGGTGGAACCGCATGCGGGCGCAGCCACTGGGGCCTTCGGTGGAGCTCCCTATGGGGCCACGAAACGTGTGAGGGGTGTGCCAGAATGGGGGGTGGAACCGCATGCGGGCGCAGCCACTGGGGCCTTCGGTGGAGCTCCCTATGGGGCCACGAAACGTGTGAGGGGTGTGCCAGACATGGGGGGTGGAACCGCATGCGGGCGCAGCCACTGGGGCCTTCGGTGGAGCTCCCTATGGGGCCACGAAAGTGTGAGGGGTGTGCCAGAATGGGGGTGGAACCGCATGCGGGCGCAGCCACTGGGGCTTCGGTGGAGCTCCCTATGGGGCCACGAAACGTGTGAGGGGTGTGCCAGAATGGGGGGTGGAACCGCATGCGGGCGCAGCCACTGGGGCCTTCGGTGGAGCTCCCTATGGGGCCACGAAACGTGTGAGGGGTGTGCCAGAATGGGGGGTGGAACCGCATGCAGGCGCAGCCACTGGGGCCTTCGGTGGAGCTCCCTATGGGGCCACGAAACGTGTGAGGGGTGTGCTAGAATGGGGGTTGGAACCGCATGCGGGCGCAGCCACTGGGGCCTTCGGTGGAGCTCCCTATGGGGCCACGAAACGTGTGAGGGGTGTGCCAGAAGGGTGTGTGGGAGGGGGAGGAGGGGGGAGGAGGGAGGGAGGAAGGAGGCGGGAACGCGGGGCACCGTCTCTTCAAAACGAGGACCCAACACCACAGGATGGTTGGAAAATAGTATGGGGACGATGTGTTTAAAAAAAGTTTGACTATTTGGGCGCATTGTTTGATTGTTTCTTCTTCCAATATCCTCCTGTAGGGGGGCAGGCCCGACCTAAGTCCAGGGAACCCCGAGAAGCATTCCTGGAAGAGCGTTCCCGGGGGCTGCGGCAGTGCTGGGGGCCTGTCGGACCGGGCGGGTGAAGTTCCGCCGGGCCGAGCAGATGCTTTTAGCTGGGGGGGAGGAGCGAGTCGACTACCCGTAAGAGTGGCCCCTCGCAGGAGTGACCTTTGGTGCGGGCCCAGTGGGGCTCCCCGATGACCGAACGCGATGCGTTAGTAGCATCCTGCGCGCTCGTGCTTGGCCCCCACGCGGCCCCCAAGAAGCCGCGCACCAGAGGTCACTCGTGCCCAGGGTCACCCCTGCGTGTAGTCGAGCAGGGGAGGGTGGGGCAGGCTTACAGTCGAGTTCGAGCAGCAGAGGTCGACCCCGACAAGCCTAAGGCTACCCCCGTGTCCTATGTGTGTCGCGCCTCGTGTCCCCTGCGCTCCTGGGTCCGCGGCCGTGTCCTCGGAGGAGTCTTGTGTCCTCTCGCGCATCCTCTCCAACACAGTGGGGGCCCATGCCAAGAAACACCCTGCTCGCCTCCAGGGTGCCCTGGGTTCCTTCTTGGGCTTCGATTGGTTTTGCGCTGGAGAGCGCGACGTTCCTGCACCAACGACCAATGAACGCCCTGGGGTCTCAGGGTTGGGTTTCTTCTGGAAGGTTTCCTGTGGTCGGACCCCTACTGCATCGGGCTGGACCGCGAGAGGCAGATCCAGTCGCCCCAGGGCGCTATATACATCCCCGTGAAAAAAGTGTATAACGAAAGTGGCACAGGGATGGAAGCCAAAACGATGTTGAATCAGACCAGGCGGGGCCCGTCGCACGAAGCGACATCCGCCTGTCAACGTTACGGAAGAACCTCTCGTCTGCAATGCGCGGTGCACGTTAGCCATCCGACTGTGGGAACGAAGTCGCACGGCAGAACGTGGAACCGCCCACGCCAGCGGCCCTGTGAAGGATGAACTTGGAAGAGCACCCAGGCATTAAGTGGCATCCGCCTCCCAATGTCGCCACTGGGCGCGCAAGCCAAAACATGGCATATCAATAACCTGGCCTGGCCCATGGTGCACGCCTGCACACGCTGCCAACATTGAAAGGCGAATGTCACTTAATGACAATACTCTTTGGGCGGTGCCGTCTGCAGATTATTCAAAACAATCGTCTTGTTGATGTTGTTATAAGTTGTCCCGGCTGTGTAGGAGCGCTCTGGAGCGGCCGCGGTGCCCGAGACGTGCTCCAGACCCGCCATCTCCTGGAGGTCCCGAGGGATCACTGGCCGGTGATGTCGTCTTCCTCCGTGGACGGGCTAACGGCGATGTACACATTGTTCATTTCTAATTCTTCGAAAGTTCCTTGATTTCTTGAGGTGGCAAGATCCTTTCATTTCTAATTGTTCTATCCTGGGCCTCTTCCTGGCCACTAGCGGGCCAGGAACAATTAGAAACAAGCACAATTAGAAATGAGCACGATTAGACATGAACGACGTGTAGGTAGCGGTGATGTAGGCTTCGGTGGTGTGGGGACGCGTGACTCGCGCTATCCTACAACTCGAATGGATCGTGCTCGCTCGACCCGGTCGCAGATTGGAGATGCAGGGAGGTGTGGTTCGTGATCACTTGCGCTTTGGTTTCTAACATCACCGTTGAGAAACATCGCCGTTGGCCCGGCCTTGGTGACCGTTGCTGTCGTCGACCTGGCGTCGTCCCCGGGAAGCCGGTCCACCCCGAGTCGGAGTCGATCCCCTCCCCCGCCCCGCCTGCGGGCCGCGGTCCTGGACCCGGACCAAGAAGGGGGAACAAGCCGCTGCTGGCCAGGGCTCGAACGAAACGGTGTTTGGGCGAAATTGTGAACCGTGTTCTTCTCTCGCAGCAAATCGAGGCCTCCCAGATGGGGTCCGAGTGAATGGGGTCGGAGGATCGCGCCGCATCGCCGATGCATCGCCGATGCAGCTCGACGTGGAGCCCGATTTGCTTCACGTCGACGTCGACGAAGCTCGCCGATGCATCGACCATGCATCGGCGATGCATTGGCGCTGCGGCGCAATCCTCCGACCCAATTTATTATGACCCCATTTCGTTGTGGCTTCGTTCCGCCGCAAGGGCAGGACGAAGACAGAGCGAAGGGAAACTAAAACAAAACGGAGGCGAAAAGCACTGCGCAGCTCGAGCCCTGCTGCCGGTGGCCGCTCCTGACGCTGCCCGCGCGTGGCCGGGGCGCGCCGCGGAGCAGGGAGGCGGAGGCGGAGGCGGGAGGAGGACGCACAGCACGGTGCGCAGAGGCGGTTCGCCGGAGACCAGCTGGCATGCAGCCAAGACGCCGGGATGAGCGACGGAAGGAAGCGGGGTCGTCTTCGCCGACACTGGCGCGTAAGCTGCTCGCGCACGGTCGCGCGTGAGCGCCAGCGCGCCCAGCGTCGCGTGTCGCGCTGGCCGCCCGCGTAGGCCACCGCGCAAGGTCGATATGTCATCTCGCGTGAGACCCGCTCCTGGTCGTCGCTCAGACGAGGATCCCTTTGGCCTCAGGAGGGCCTCTGGCTTTCGGAGTGCGCCTCTTAGGTCTGGGTTTTGGGGGACCTTGTCTTCGTGGCCGAGACCAACCGTGGCCAGGACAATGCGGGGCCGGCGTGCAGTGGGGGGGAGCAAAGATATGGGGGGCGGAGTAGGTGCAACAGTCTTTGCAGAAGTTGTTGCCTGGATGCAGTAGTTTGCGGCCTGGGCGGACTAGTTGCGCGTGAGTACAATCGTGCACCATTTTCACCGCAATAAGTCACGTCCCTTGCTATAGTTCGTGGCCCCAGCAATACTTCGCGCATCAGCTAGGCCAGAGTAGTGGGGGTAGCACATGTGGGGGGCGGAGTAAGCGTGAGTGCAATCGTGTATTCTTTCAAGCGCAATACAGTGCGGGCGCGGCCGCAAGAAACCCTCGCAAGAAATCCAACCTTGAAAACCCGCGCGCGGGGTGCACCCGAGGGGAAGCCTGGAGCACCCTGAACGCAGCAGCTTCTTCAACGGCTGCGGGAAGTCACCGCGCAGCGCGCGGAGCGAAGAAACCCAGGATACCCTGACGAAAAGCATATGGTTTCTTGATGCGCGCCCCCACTATAATTCACGCCCCTTGCATATATCCCGTGGCCCGAGCAAAACTTCGCGCACCAGTTCGCGCAAGCGAACTGCTGCACCTCCCACCGCCCCCCCACTAGCGCTGCCCCCACCGCTCCAGCCTGAAGGAAAGCGCCCTCGTTCCTTGTCCATCGTTCCTTCTGGTAGCCCGATGACTGTACTGGTTGTTGATGTTTGGGTTTTTTTCAATATACATAAAACTGAATCCAATAAATTTGGGTTTGAATTCAAAAGCTGCTGGCAAACCATACGAGGAGACGCCTGCCGCAGCGGCCAGCGACTCGGTCCCCTGGACCACTCACCAAAGGCGACGTGCGCAGGCCTCGCAGCGAAGCACGCGGTCGGGAGGCCGCGAACGCGGGGGAAGGGAGGCCCGGGATGGGGGACAAATCGTTCCAGGGCATTCCCGAACGCAACGCGGCCCGGGATGGGGACAAATCGTTCCATGGCATTCCCGAACGCGAACGCGGGGGGAGGGAGGCCCTGGAGGAGGACAGATCGTTCCAGGGCATTCCCGAACGCGAACGCGGGGGGAGGGAGGCCCGGGAGGAGGACAAATCGTTCCAGGGCATTCCCGAAGGCGAACGCGGAGGGAGGGAGGCCCGGGAGGAGGACACATCGTTCCAGGGCATTCCCGAACGCGAACGCGGGGGGAGGGAGGCCCGGGAGGAGGACAGATCGTTCCAGGGCATTCCCGAGCTCTCTCAGAGCGCCCCAGAACGCTCTCAGAGCGTATCTCCCAGACCCGCCAGCTGTCAGAGATTCCCGACTTGGCCTCGTTCGAAGGTGTCCTCACCTAGGCTGGGAGAGGAAGGATGCGATCGGCTTAGTAACCTAAGTCGCGCCAAAACAATCGCGCGTCGCGCATCGCAGCCTGGGACTAAAAGCCGCCCCTCACCAATCGGGGGTGGTCAGAACCCCCACCCTGACGCGTCGGTTAGTGAATTGTCCGTCTTCGGTTCTCGAGAGGGCGCCGCGGCCGTCGTTTTACAGGCTTGCGCCCGCCAGGTTTGGGCCCGAGGTCGTTTTCACTAAACCACGTTTTACTAAAGGGGGCTCTGTCCATCCCCGAACCAAGGGGGGTATCGTGAGGGCGCGAAGGTAGCCGCGCGATGCGCGCATCGCGGGACGCGATATGCGCGAAGAGTTGCGGGTCAGGCTCGTGCCGCGCCAGCGCGGCAGCGACCCAAGGCGCGGGCGTGCAAGGTTGAGAGCTCCGCGAGCCTGTTCCTTCCCCCCCTCCCTCTCCAAATCCTCCTCCCCGCCCCAGCACCTCCCCTTCCTCCCCCTTCTCCCCCTCCTCCTCCTCCTCCTCCTCCTCCTCCTCCTCCTCCTCCTCTCCTCCTCCTCCTCCTCCTCCTCCTCCCCCTCCTCCCTCCTCCTCCTCCTTCCTCTCCTCCTCCTCCTCCTCCTCCTCCTCCTTCCTCCTCCTCTCCCTCCTCCTCCTCCTCCTCCTCCTCCTCCTCCTCCTCCTCCTCCTCCTCCTCCTCCTCCTCCTCCTCCTCCTCCTCCTCCTCCTGCCTCCTCCTCCCTTCCTCCTCCTCCTCCTCCTCCTCTCCTCCTCCTCCCTCCGCCCCCTCCCCCCCCCTCATCATCCTCCTCCTCTCTCTCCACCCCCTACTCTCCCTCCTTTCCCCTCCCCCCTCCCCCATCCCTCCTCCTCCCCCCCAACTCCTCCCCCTCCTCCCCCCTCCTCTTCCGATCCCCCCTGGCCCCAGGATGCCCCTGGAGGACCTCGAGGCTTCCAGAGGCGTCTGATGCTCCAACCCACTTTAGCCGGGAGCACCAGGAAGAACTTCGAGCGCCAGGAAAGTGCCGAACTTGGAGGGTGTTCAAACGTCGGGCCCTGCGAGGCGATACTCGTGCGGCACTGTTTCGATACTTGTTCTGGGTGCTCGAAATTATGCCAAGGATGTGGTCCTGAAGCACGATGGGCGCAACATGACCAGAGGTCCGAGAGGAGCCGCGGTCCCGCAGGTGGCCCCCCGTTGCAGCGGGCCTCGCGCGGGCCCAGCCCGGAGCGCATCGGCGGCCGCGCCGTGGAGCGGCGGTCCACGCTGCGCGGGGAGGCCCTCGACAGGCGCCGACGGTCGTCGTCGACGTCGTCGTCGTGGACGTGGTCGGCGTCGACGTTGCCGTTGACGTCAACGTTGACGTCAACGTTGCCTTTGGCCTTGACGTTGGAGCTGCCCTTCCGGAGAAGCGGGGGAGCAGGGGGTGGGCAGTAGGGGGAGGCGGGTTTCAGGGAGGGGGGGAGGAGGAGGAGGAGGAGGAGGAGGAAGAGGAGATGGCGGCGAGGGAGGAAGGAGGCCTGTTGGATTTGTTAGGTGGGGTCCGAAGGTCCTCATCCTCCTCCTCCGCCGCCCCTTCCTCCTGATCAACACCGTCGTATTATCCTGGGTCGTTTTTTAGACTGCCCTGGAGCCGGAACACGGCCTCAAGGGGCCTCAAGGGTCGAAGAGAAGAGCCGGCCGTCGCTTCTCTTGCGCCGCCCAGAGCTCGTAGCTCGCGGAGCCCTGCCGTCAGGGGCTCCGACGGAGGGGGATTGGCCCAAGGGGGGGAAGCATCGACCCCCAGTCGCCCACTCGAGGAAGCGCAAGCCTGGATACACAGACGCACGGATCGGCGCGGCGGGCCCCGTTTCTGGTACACAAAGAAATCGGCGAGCTCCGTCACCACACGAGGCGGCACTGGCTTCACGTTCCGCCCCTGGCGCCCACGCGCCAGATCCACGCATCCTTAGGTCGTGCCTGTCCCTCTACAGGAGGAAAACTCAAACATTGCCTAGTCAAAAAATAGTATGGGGACGATCTTCCGACTGTTGTCGATCATGTTGAAGTATGTTTTGATTCACTTTTTGCCTTTCGGCCGCAATCCGCCTGTAGGGGGACGTGCCCGACCTAAGCGCATCCCTAACCCATGTTGCCGCGCGCCCGACTGCCATCGCCGATCGGGAGACAAGGGCGCCCTCGAGGGCGCGAAGTCATTCGCGCTTCGCGCTTCGGCTCCGATTCCTCCTCACCCTCCTCCTCTGCCTTGGGAGGCGGCGCGAGAGCGCGAAGCTATTCACACTTCGCGCTCCGCGCAGCGCGGAGCGCGGAGTTGGGAGCCCTTGGGAGACCTGGGTGCCCCAGTCCGCCCAGGAGCGCGCGGCTTCGCTGTCTGGAGCCTCCTGCCGCCGACGCGTCGGCGACGCGTCTCCGGCTCCAGGGCAACGCTTCCCTCCCCTGAGGCCGGCGCCCCCTGTCAGGGCTCACTCCGATGCCTCCGACTCGATTCTGTTCGCTTTCGATGGCTTCCGATTCCGATTCGATTCGGCTTCAGGTTTCGATTGAGATTCCGACTGCTTGCTGGAGGCACTCTGGCCTGCCGATTTCCGCCGATGTGACTTTCCCCGATTCGGCTGCCGATTTCGGCCGATCCGATCCATTTCGATCGCCGATCCGACGTATCGACTCGATTCTGGGCCCTCCTGTCCCTATCCTGTCCCTTCATGTCGGCCCCCGGCAGGGCAGGCAGGTGGGGAATCGACCCGATCGCGCTGGGCGCGCGACCGTGCCGCCGTCCTAGTCGATGCCGCCGCCCTCGTCACATCGCAGCCGCCATCGCCACCGCCGTCGCCGCCGATGTCGTCCCCGCCGTCCCTCGCCCGCCCGAGTCGCGCGCCGCTGCCCGAGAGCAGGGCCCGCGCGTCGCGCAGAGTCGCGAGCCAAACGCGTCCGAGGGGCCACGCACGCCCGCACGGCCCGGTGGAGTGTGCAGGCAACCTGCGGAGGGGCGCGGTCTGCCTGGCTGGCGCTCCGGCCCCCCGGACGCCGTCCCCGCCACCCGCGGGCCGCTCTGGCTGCTCGTTGCGGAAGTCTTTCCCGCCTCCGGGTGTTCGCCCTCCTCTCCCTCCCCGCGGCCGCTCTTCCGTCTCCCTCCTCCTGCATGCCAGCCAATTCGCTTTGTAGTGCCCCTGCATCGCTGTCACGCTGGAGCGGATCGTCCCGCCTCGCTGCCGACGGACAAAGTGTTTGCTTGTACATGGGAGGTGGTCACGCGTGGAGACCCACAGTGAATTGGCTCTCCATGGAAAAAGTGCCAGAATCCAGCCCCCTCCCGAGCCCGGACATGCGGATTGGTACCAATTGGGACTTCGCACGTCATATATGATTATGCCTCGTCGTTCAGTGCCCATCTGAACTCATACCATCTCAGCCCAGCCAGGTATTGACCCCCCTTTCACCCCAGTGAAATCATACCATGCGCGCACAATCGTTTATATCAAAATCATGTTTCAAGAGTCCCTTGCATAAAATTACTCCGACGGAAGGACCCCACATGAGAATATGTTCAGCTTACCCTTAGCCCTTTCCTCATCGCCCTGGCAGACACCCTCCTCTCGCCCTCTGCTCTGCCCTTTCTCCTCCTTCTTCTCCTCCTCTTCCTCCCCCTCATCCTCCTTCTATGCTTTTTCCTCCTCCTTCTATTTATCCTCCTCCTCCTCCTCCACCTCCTCCTCCTCCTCAACCTCCTCCTCCTCCTTCTCCTCCTCCTCCTCATCATCATCATCCTCCTCATCCTCCTCATCCTTCTCCACCTCCTCACCATCGTCACCCTCTCATCCCCTCCCCGACGTCATCCTTCCACTGCTTCATCTCCATGTGTTCCCCCCTTCCCCCTGGTCGGGGCAAGCAAATCGATGTCCCTCGGCGCCGTCGCCACCTCGGCCAGCGCGCTCGCATTCGCCGACGGCTGGTTCGCGAAGCCTTTGGGGCAGCTCCGACGGCCCTGGGGCCCCCGAACGGCCCCCAGACTCCAAAATCAAAACGCCGACCCGACATCGACGACAACGATGACGACAAGGGAGCTCCCGCCTGAGACTTCCTTACATGTCACTCACAGACGAGGCTCCCGCTTGACACATCCTCCATATTCAGGCCTGAGGCGCCCAAAAGGGACGACTGTTACAGGATACCGACGACCCGCTTCGGATTCGAACATGAAATGCGGGCCCCTTAGGGAGGGAGCTCCCGCATGAGACTTCCTCACAATTCACTCACAGACGAGGTTCCCGTCTGGTACTTCCTCCACACCCAGGCTTGAGGAGCCCAAAAGTAACCACAGTTACAGAATGCCGATGACCCGCTTCGCATTCGAACATCAAGCGCGGGCACCTTAGGGAGGGGGCTCCCGCCTGAAACTGCCTCGCAATTCTCTCACTGACGAGGCTCCCGCCTGATACTTCCTCCATATCCAGGCCTGAGTAGCCCAAAAGTGACGACCATTACAGGATGCCGATGAACCGCGTCAGTTAGAACATGAAGTGCGGGCACTTTAGGGAGGGAGCTCCCGCCTGAGACTTCCTCACATGTCACTCACAGACGAGGCTCCCGCTTGATACTTCCTCCATATTCAGGCCTGAGGCGCCCAAAAGGGACGACAGTTACAGGATACCGATGACCCGCTTCGGATTCGAACATGAAATGCGGGCCCTTTAAGGGGGGAGCTCCCGCCTGAGACTTCCTCACAATTCTCTCACTGACGAGGCTCCCGCTTGATACTTCCTCCAGATCCAGGCTTGAGGACCCCAACAGTGACGACCGTTACAAGATGCCGATGACCCGCCTCGGATTCTAACATGAAACGCGGCCCCCTTAGGGAGGGAGGTCCCGCCTAAGACTTCCTCACAAATCACTCACAGACGAGGCTCCCGCCCGATACTTCCTCCATATTCAGGCCTGAGTAGCCCAACAGTGACGAAAATCACAGGACGCCGATGACCCGCATCGGATTCTAACATGAAGCGCGGTCCCCTTAGGGAGGGGGCTCCCGCCTGAGACTTCCTCGCAATTCAATCACAGACGAGGCTCCCGCCTGGTACTTCCTCCATGTTCAGGCCTGGGGAGCCCAAAAGTGACGACAGTTACAGGATGCCGATGACCCGCCTCGGATTCGAACATCAAGCGCGGGCCCCTTAGGGAGGGAGCTCCCGCCTGAGACTTCATCACAATTCACTCGCAGACGAGGCTCCCGCCTGATAATTCCTCCACGTTCAGGCCTGAGGAGCCCAAAAGTAACGACAGTTACAGGATACCGATGACCCGCCTCGGATTCGAACATGAAGTGCGGACCCCATAAGGAGGAGGCTCCCGCCTAAGACTTCCTCGCAATTCACTCACAGACGTGGCTCCCGCCTGAGGCACCCTCCATTGCCATGCCAGGGGGTGAGTGATGACGAAGTGATGAGTGAGGGAATGATGATGGCAAGTGAGTGGATGAGTGAGCGAGTGATGATAAGTATGGTGACGATGAGAAGTGAGCGTGTGAGTGTGTAATTGAGTGAGTGTGAGTGTAAGTGAGTGTGGGAGTGACGAAGATGATGGTGATGATGATGATAATGATGATGATGATAATGATGATGGTGATGGTGATGGTGATGGTGATGATGATGATGAGTGAACGAGTGAGTGAGGGTGAGTGATGACGAGGGAGAGAGGGTGTGTGACAGGACTGCGCGAGGTGTCCAGAGAAAACAAGAACCCCACTTAGGATGTGGGGAACAACAGAACTCCACACACGCACGTACACATACAGAAATCACGCCAAATACATTAGTCCTGCCATCACTTCAGCATAAGATCATCACAGGCCCCAAGGTTATGCATTACAAACCTTGCATCTGGTATACCCGCGCGCACTTGCTAAAGCCATCGGGAACCACATGAATTTGGCAATCTCGTCCACAACCCACGTTCTCCTTTCACCACGCGGTGCATTTGTGCTGATCCAGCATGCGCCCAGTTCGGGAATCCGTAGAATACTACCGCGCGTGCCACACGCGCGCGCATCCACGCGCGGGTGTGGCAATCCATCCAAAGCCATTGGTGTTCGAAGCATTTCAAGATAGATCGATACAAAAACATATGAGGAGCCAAGTGTCTGGCAACAGACAGTACGCCAGGTTTCTAGAATTCCCTGCGCGTCATCGCATCACAGCCGTAATCGTCATCGTCATCGCCGTTGGTGCCGCCATCATCACATGGACATCCTCTTAATCATCGTCGTTACAATCATCGGCGCCGTCATTGGCCACGCCAGCGTCATCGTCATTATCGCCACTTCCATCGTCACTAGCATCAACGCTGCCGCCGTTGTTGACGTCAGTATGACACCACGCCCGCCCAAGTCACCGACCCGCACTGAAGAGCACGCGCGCCGGCCCGGCCTCGGAGACGCGCGGGGAAGTTCCCATCGGCAAGCGCCACCTCGGCTGCATCAGTTGTGCCAAAGCAGCGCGGTCGCAGAGATGCGCCAGCTAGCGCCAAGCACATCCGCAACCGTGGCCTCATGAGATTTGCGAAACAAGTTGCGGGCGGGAGGGTCGGCAGTGGAGTGGACAACCCACGACTTGCAATAATGAATTGC